CTTCCTTCCTTCCTTCCTTCCTTCCTTCCTTCCTTCTTCCTTCCTTCCTTTCCTTTGGTGGTGGTGGTGGGGTTTCCTTCTAAGTTCTGGCTGGCCTTGAACTCCTGGTGAACCTCCTACCCCTTCCCCCAAGCACTGAGGTTACAAGAGGGGCTTCCGGCATATTCTTTCCTTCTTTCTTCACGCTGGGTCTTTTTCCCCTGCATCATGGCATCGGAGCCACTGACCTAGAGGAGGCTGCACTTCTGCATGTGGAGTCGCTGCCCTTCCTGCCCCTGCTGAGACAAGCTGTGAAGCGCTTGCAGCACAGCACCTGTAGCAGAGCGCAGGGCAAGGGCTGTCTGGCGCCTTTGATGCCGCAGGGCTGGGACCCTGGGCTCCTTCATCACCAGCCAAGGAAGCCAAGGACCTCGGCTGAGGCCCGGAGCCTGCAGCGCCCCAAGAGGACAGCAGGGGGCGCCCGCTACCTCCAGCCTCCCTCCCCTGTCCTGGCCCTGGAGGGGGCGGTGGCATATCAGTCCACCTGTCCAGGTGCACAGGAGCCAGGGGACACAGACTGGGCCCTGCAGGGAGGACTTCGGCACCGGGCTCTCTTCACTTGGCTAGGATGGCTGACAGTCACCCTCCTTGGAAAAGCCCAGAGGACGTTGCCTGCAAACTGCCCTTGTCTCTGCTGGGTGGGCTGCAGGAAGTCAGACCTGCCATGAACAAATGAGCCCTGAAGGAGAACCACAGGGGAAGCGCCAGATGCCAGGGTTCCTACTCTTGAGTCTGCCTCCTCCAGAGAGGCAGGAAACGAGCTCCAGAGAGGTAGGAAATGAAGAAAGGAAGGGCCCAGGAGGACAGAGGTGAAGAGAGGAATTTCCCAGGATGCACTGGGACCACCCCAGAGCACAGGCTTAGATGTTTAAGGAAAGCGTGTGACTGTGCAAAACATCTCCACTTCATCTCCAGGGCCTGGGCTTTTCTAACAGAAGGTGAGTTCAATTTATGCCTGCTGTGGTGTGGAAGTCACAAGCCCAGCTCCCCATGGCAACCATCCTCACTTGTCTCAGAGAGGCTGAGGTGTAGGAATGCTTAGGTGGGGAGCAAAGCCTGTCACACCCACGGTCTAGCTGTGACTGAGTTCATCAGGGTCTCAGCAGGAAGCAGATGGCAAATTAGGATAATTCTAGGAGGATTAGAAAAGGGATTATTACCAAGATGCATACAGGGGCCATGGAAATCTCAAGTAGAGGATGTCACCATCCCCAGACCCAGAGCCCCCCTATGTGCAGGGTGCTGCACATAGGAATTCAGCCCTTCAGAGGGTGGAGGGAGAAAGCTGGGTGATAAGGACCCTGCCCTCCTCCTTCCCCTCCCAGGACTCCCCTGGCCGGCAGAAGCCCTGTAAGGCAAGGAAGCCAGCTGGGCTCTGCCTCCTGGGCCACAGGGCAAGGTGGAGAGGAGCAGGCAGATGAGGGATGTGTCCAGGAAGATGGGCAGCCGCTCTGTTATCAGATCCAAGGCCACACTGCTTCTCCACACCTATGCAGGGCGTGTCCACCGGGGGAACTGGAGGACACTGATGAGTGTAATGAAGGAATTTCTATTTCTATGGCTTACCCCAGACCATCTTTGTCTGGCAGCCTTTGTCCTTTGCACAGCTTAACTGTAGATTTATTGGGTCTGTATGGAAATGCACCTGCTGAGTCTTGCAAAACCAGTCATAAACACAAGAGACTTTTCCCCAGGGGAACCTCTGAGACCAGACCTACTCTGGCTTCAGCCTGGCTGCAGAGACAGGACAGTCTCTCTGGGAAGGTCACCTCCAAGCTGCCACTTCCTGTAAACATTCCTAGCCACTCTTCAGACTTGGGAAGCTGGCTGGTATGAAACCGCAGAGATGAAGCTAACTTGGGAAATCACTGATCTTGTGGCTTTTTGATAAAATAGTAGACAGACAATATTGTTGCCAAGAGGGCATATTAACCCAGAGTCACAAGGGACCTTATTTTAAAATAACTGCAGATGGGCTGTAAGACAAAGAACAAGTTAAAATACACAAAATAACTCATATCCCACTTGTATCACATCTTTCCCTTTTGTTTGTATGCAATTAAGTTGTGTGTAGTGAATTAGATGCTTTGTTTTGTTTTTCATAAATACTTCCTTTGATTTATTCATATCGCTGGTGGTACATTTCTCTGGGAGCTCCTAGTTACTGATCCTGAGTCTCAAGCATCTATTATAACTGCTAACTAACAGCACCGTCTTGCCACTGGTAACAATAAATAAAGAAAAGGCACAGCCCAGAGAGGGCCTAACAAGTCCCTGTGGTACTTTTCACCAACAGAGCAAAATAAAAAATAACTCTCAGCAGACTTAGAAAGCAGAGAAGGGAAACAACGAAGAAGAAGGGAAATGAAGATGAGGGAAAGAAAAAGGAGGATAAAAAGAACACCTAGGGCTGGCCAAATATCTCAGTGGATTAAAGCGCCTGCAAGCAAGCACTGGGCCCAGGGTTTGATCCCCGGGCTGCTGAACCAGTCCCCCTCCCCCAGGGGTGCTGAAACAGTGACTGACACTGGGAGTGGTGGCACATGCCTGTAATCCCAGCTCTTGTGAGGTTGTCAATAGGCGGATCACTATGAGTCTGATCTAGCAGTGAGACGCTGAACACCAAGTAGACTGTTCCCTAAAATACAACAACAACAACAAAAAAGAATACCTAGGAGCCAAATTTGACAGTTCAAATCTACTTATTGCACTGCGCCATTTCCCCACATGCCCATAAGTCTTCCTAAACTACCAAAGGGTGAAGGGCCATTCTAGAAGGAGGATGTCCAGAACTCGTGGCCACATGCTCATACCTGAAGGTGAGCTTATTGCAGGTAGCTGGGTTGTCATTGATGTCTTCCACAATGAAGGTTATCTGGATGCGGTTTTCCTGGCCTCCAGTGGGTCTGTCCCTCACCAGAACTTCCAGGGAAATGGTGGGATTCTGTCTTAATTCCCCTGTATCTCGGTCTATCCTCTGGGCCACGTGGATTGTACCAGTCACTATGAAGGCGAAGGTTAGAACATGACCCTCTGAAGATAAATGAAGAATCAGCAAAGGCAATGGAGAAAATTAGAGAAGGCCATTCTAAGACAAGGATTGGCTCACATAGGGATTTGCTAGACATCTATGATGTGGTTTATATTTAGCTGTCCTCCTAAAGCCTCGTGCAGCCCTGGGTAGGAGCATTGCTAGGTGACTGGGTCATGGCAGCTTCAACTGACTATTAGGAGGTGGAGCCTGATCTGAAATGGCAGGCCACTATGGGCGTGGCCTAGAAGCCATGTCACCATCCCGCTCCTCCCCGGACTCTGCTTCCTGAATTCCATGAGGTGAGCAATTGTCCGCCATACCCCTCTCCTGTGCCTTAGGGCCACCAGACTGTGGACTGAACCGCCCACAAATTTGAGCCAAATAAACAACTCCTCTGTTAAGTTTAGGTGCTAGCTATTGTGTTTCAGGGAAGAGGAAAGTGACCAAGACAGCATACATTTAAAGAACAAAACTCATGTCAGTTCCTGTAGTAGGAACTCAGTGGAGTATCTGGCCCAATCCTCCTAGAATGCTTCTCCCTAGACTTCTGAGTTGAGCTCCTGGCCCCAGCCCCAGCCATTGGTGACAACATGGTAGATGTCTGACTCCAGTCTGGCCTACAGGGGTTTCTTGTTGGAGAATCTATAACTGGGAGACTCATGCTGGGAACAAGGCCTGTTACCAAAGGAGGTTGGAACAGGAGAGGCTGAGCTTGCTGTAGCAGCCCCAGTTCACCCTCCATGTGTCCCGAGTAGCTAGTGCCTTCTTATGATCTACCTTGTGTCCTGCTGATACATATCCCTACCTTTTTCCTTTTCTCATGGTTGGGTTGGTTTGATTTAGTTTCTGTTACTTGCAACCAGCATCTTAATAAATATGCCCCCCCAAAGCGTGCATATTAAAAGTTCAATTTTGTAGTGCCTGAAGGACAGAATTCTCAGCCCTGGTTGTCCCTCCCTACCCTATCAGCAGAGGGTAGAGCCTCAGTGACCTCACACTAGGGTTTTCGCAGGTGCAGCACAGAATCTGCCCTTGCAGGCCTCCCCTGAGGAAAGGCATCCTTTGCCCTGTGAGTGATGGGGCCAATAGCGCAGTCTTCTGAGGTTGTCCACAGCTGGCCCACATACAAGCTCCATAACAAGTGAAATCCTTTAGGGTGATGTGGTCAGGATTTAAGGAAGTGAGACCACTTAGTTGTGGCTGTGAGGTCAGGCCCTGGAATTAGCTGGTGTGGATTGGAATCTCTGCTTCCCAACTATCAGACGTGAGACCTCAGGCCACTCACTCACCCTTGCTCAGGTCTCTTTCCAAGCCTCAGTTTCCACTTCCATCAAATTTCAAATGATTAAGACATTCATTGGGTTGAGTATGTGGGGTGTAATGCACATGGTCACTCTATATAATACCTGGCAGGTATGAAGTCTCCAATGAAGTGGCCATGACAGACTCTTTCTGAGAGAATAACCCCAGCAACCCAGCAGACTGAGCTAGAGGACGCTGTCCTATCTGTCACCACTGGAGCCATTCAATACCTGAAGTGGGGCTGATCTGCACTGAGCTGTGGCTTAAGCACAAAATACATCACACACTTCCAAGATTCAATTCATATATATATTAAAATTAAGCAAACTGTCTCATTCATGATTTTAAATACTGATTGCATGTTGAAATGATAATATTTGGGATCTGCTGGTTTAAATGAAAGGCTTTTAAAGACTAATTTCACTTGTGTAGTTTTGTTTTCAAAAGTTTGACTACTGGGAACTTTGAAATTCCACATTCATGGACTAGGTCTTGTCTTCTCAAGGAATCAGGGTGCCTTGGGGTAGGAACCCACTTACCTTTACATACCCACCTTCCTCAAGGCTGCTGGGCTTTAGGGCCTGCAACCTGGCACCTGGGCATTTGAGAAAGAGGTGGAAGGAGGGAGGCCTCTCGCACCTCTGACTTTCTCACCATAAAGAAATTCTATGCCTTCCTATGAAGTAACCCTAAGAGCTTCAAACCAGAGATGCCCCACCCCACCCAGAGAAAAGGATCACTCTCATTATGGGAGACACAGAGCGGCCAAGAAGAATCTACAGTGCAGGCCTGGCTAAGGTTCTCCCTGCTTTATTGCCAATCCGATTCTACACCTTTTGTTCTCCACCCATAATTCACCAGCTATTCACCTCTTATTTTTAAAATATTTATTTATTTTAATGTATTTGGTACGGAGTCTCACTACACAGCTCAGACTCATAGTGATTTTCCTGTTATCAGCCTCCCCAGCACTGGGATTACAGGCATGTGCTACCACGCCCGGCTCAGTGCACTCAGGGGCGGGGCTGGCACAGCAGGTAGTGCCCAGGGATTGAACTCCAGTCTCTGTGCTTGCCTAACTAGGCTCTTAGTCTACTGAGCTATCTCCCCGACCCCCCAACTATTCACTTCTTGATCAACCTTAGCATGGAAACAGTTTTCCCTGAAGCTTTGAGACTTTCTTTCCTTGAAGGACCCTTGTTGCATGAAACTCAGATGAAGTACATTTGCATGCTGTTTTCTTGTTCATATGCCTTTTATAGACATAGACAGACTAGAGAGCCTCAGCATAAACTTGATGATGGATGAGGAAGGAAATCTAAGGAGAGGCAGGCTCACAGCTGCCCACACCTCCCACAACCCGCTCTGCAGCTGGTATTATACATTTATCTCCTGGCTCCTAGTGATGACCCTAGAAGGAAAGGCGTGCCCAGGTCAGAGAGGTAAAATAACGTGGAACAATCTGAATAGCAGAAGAACTAGAGGACACACTTCAAGACGGTCCCATGCGACTCACACTGGTTGATCACAAAGTACTTGCTGACTGTCGTGATGGTGTACAGGAGGCGGCTGGGAAAGCTGCCATCATTGTCGGGGTCCTCAGCTGTGACATTGGCCACGATGGTTCCCACGCGCAGCTCCTCCGGGATGGAGTGCACACGCGTCGGGCTGGAATACAGCAGACACAGCTCGTTCGCAGGGGCACAGGAGGGAGCAGTCTGGGCGGCGGGTATTTTGGTTAGTGCTAAATTTAGCTCTGAGCTGCTGGAGTTGCATCAACATGCGGCGGGAGAGCACAGCAGTTGAAAGGAGGCGTGAGCGGCTTTTGTGATTCCAAGGATCACATCCCTGTGGCTGCAGAGAAAGTGCCACGCTGTTGCCACCTCGGTTTACACAGGCCACAGCCTGCCTCTGTGCACTCCTGCCTGTGCCATTTCAGCCGGGCCTTCACATAGGCAGCTTTTACAATAAAGCCAGTTGGCCTCTCCAGCTAGCTTCTCTCGTTCTCCCATGTTTGTGAAGGGGAAAAAAACCCTGCCTGAATTCTTTAAAAATCCATCTGGACATAAAGCCCGGAGCTGCAGGTTTGCTATCTGCTGTGGGACTCTGAACCCGTGCTTCCAGGAGCTTGGAGCGTTGTGAAGCTCTGCTCCTCTAGCACCTGTGCTCCCTTTTTGTTCCTTTCTTGTCTTTCTTTCTTGCCTAAGAATATTGAATTTGCACGTGGAGCTCATGCGTGTTTCCAGGGCTCATTAATCACGAAATCTGCATCTTGGAACTCAGGACTAATCCGCTGGCAGAAGTCAAGTTCGGACAGGGTTCTGCAGAAGTCATTTCTCACAGAGCCTCTCCAAACTGTCACTTCACCTGCACCCCTGGGGCCTTTAGAGAAGGCATGATGAGACAGATGGGATGGAAGGTTTAACTATAGAACGGGGTAAACTCAGTAGCTTTGAAGGCAAGGAGACTCCCTGCTTCCACTGCCTCTTCAGGAAGTCCTGGTGCTGAGGGCAAATCATTTCAGTGGGGGGCAGTTGGCACCGATAGTCTCCCAGCTGCCCTAAATTGGCCTTGTCTGCAAGGGCTCTGGCTTAAGGGACCTGGGGTCTAAGTAACTACATTTGCATCAGGGCTCAGTGCTCTGCAGCTGCCTTGGGTAGAGAGGACTGTAGGAAGGAGAGATGGGAGGGGAGCTCTGGCCAGAGTCAGGGGCAGGCTCCTCTGTACACCCCAGGCCCCCTGCGTCCACACTGAGGGCTCTCCTAGGGTGTACCCCACCATTTGGCTGAGTAATCTTGAGCTGAAGAGGTCTGGGCCTCCTTATCCACATCCCATGAACAGCCTTATCGGTCCTCCCAATGACCACCACACCCTTCTCAGGGTGAGATGCTGTTGGTCTCAGGTCCAGGGCTGGGCAAAGAGGGTGGGGGCCAGGAGCCGAGGACGGAGGCAGGCTGCACTCACAGCCTTGGCGACCTGAGTGAGCCCTTTGCCCACTCGTGAGAGTCTCACATCTAATGTGGGATGCTCTGCACTTTGGCACTGTGAGTTAGCAGCGGCAAAAGGATTGTGACTGTGAAGAGGCCTTGTTGCTGCAGCCTGGCTCTGGTCATGCCTAGACCAGCAGTACCTGGGTCACCAGCTGGCCACCCAGGCACCAGATGGAAGACTTCACCCTTTACGAGACATCCTAGGGATCTGTGTACCCTTCAGGTTCAAGAAGCGTGGTGCAGAGGGGACCACCCCAGGTCCTTGCCTCCCCAGGGCAGAGAGAAGACAGCCTGGAAGAAGAGTCCTCTCCCACCCTCTGCCTGCCCTTCCTTCCTGGCAGGGGTTCTCAGGCAGGGCTATTATACCCGGACATGGTTTTGGCTGTCACATGGGAGAAGGGTTCTTTGTGTCTATGGGGAAAAAGCAAGAGATGCCACTGAACACGCTTTGTTCAGTGCAGAGAAAGCCCTGTCGGGAAAAGGAACCCACTCGCAACATCAGGGGTACACCGCTGAAGCCCGCGGGCCCCAGGGCTCCTCCGGCCCTTAACCAGGGCTGCAGGAGCCAGGTCCCTTGAAGGGGACTTGTCAGGCTATCAGGGACAGGATGTCTTCTCAGACCAAGCAGCAGCTCTTGGCTGCCCCAGCAGCGTGCCTGGCCAAAGGGAATCTATACTGTACTGAGCTTTGAGATCCAAGATGCAGATCTGGGTGCAGCATCATCCAGTGTGATGTTCAACCAACTTTCACTCTAGCCAAAGTAGACGAAGCCAATGAAACTCCATGACATTCTCATAGCCTCTTCCCATGTCTCCTGGTCATCCCAGCTGAGTGAGGGGTAGACAAGAACCTCCAGTCATAGGAAAGGTCAGGATTCTGGGGGCAGGATGGCTTCCTGCCTCTGTGCTGAGTTCTCGGTCAGTGCCTAATGTGTGCATTCTGTGGCCAGGCACAGGAGGAGGAGGCGTGAGGACCAGCACAGAAGAAATGGGCACTTGAGAAGACAGACCTGCCTGCTTCCGCTGACAGCTAGAATAGGATGCTTTGCATGAAAAGCAAGCGTGGTGCTTGTGTAGAGCAGTCGGGTGCTTCTGCAGGAGAGGGCTTGGCTTTGAGAATGACACACTGCTGAGTGCACAACGTGGACCCATAAAGCTCGCTGGTATGTGCCCCATCCAGGGAAAAACAGCTAGACAGTCTCAACAACAGAGACCACACCTATTTCGGTCTCATTAATTGAAGGCATTTAACCCTCAGGACGTGTGAAAGGGCTGTTTCTACACTCAACATTTCTGCACTACTCAAACACGGTGTACTTTAGTCAGTTTGATGACTTCACCTTCCTAATCCTGAATTTGTGGTTAGTGCTAGCACTGGTTTGGGGGAAAGAGAAAAACAGAAGTCTGAGGAGAACCGTGCAAACCCTCAGTTCAGAGCCTAGTGTGACCTGGGCGGATGCTTCTGAGTTGTGGATGGCTGAGGGCTAAGATCACTTGTGAGTGCACCGCTTGGGCCAAGCCAGGCAGTTACGGCTTGTGTCAGGATGCCCCCCCCCAAAAACACAAGGCCTCGTGCAGTCCTAGGCGAGGCTTTTTCAGAGGCGGGTGGATCTAGAGTGTGTGATGCTGGAATTCATTCATGGTGCAATGGCAGGATCAAGGGTACTAGGATTAAGGGTGTGAGTGCTACCTCCCCTGAGTAGTCTGGAAAAGATATAGAGAGAAAGGGCTGTGGTCATCCCTTGTTGCTTTGCCACCTTCTGCCCACCATGAACTGTTCCTCCTCTCCAGTGCCCCTCCGCCACACCACCTTGCCTTGGAGCCAGTGACAATGGACTGAACCCTCTACAAAATGTGAACTGGAAGAAACCGTTCCTCCCTTAATTTGTGGGTGTCAGGTAGGGCATTCGGTCTCCATAACAAGAAAGGTAATGAATGGGGCCAGGGAGATGGCTCAGTGGAATAAGCGCTTCCCTGGCAAGCACAAAGGCCTGAGTTCAATCCCTGGTTCTGCAAAAAAAAAAGAAAAAAGAAAAAGAAAAAAGAAACAAAGAAAGGTAATGAAGACAGGCAGGATCCTGCCCTAAGTCCCCTTTTGGGACAGCAGCTCCTCCAGACCCACCCTTGCCACCACACATGCAGCACTGTTTGAAATCAAGTTGACCAGCTAAAAATGGTTAGACAGTCATACAGGTCACTGTCACACAAGCCAGGCTGTCTATCCAGGATGAGGACTAACAGGTTCTCCCTCAAACCCAAAGGAAGGAAGAGTCCCAGCTGACCATGCGGGCAGCTCAGCCAGCCAAGGTCATGTCTGTCTGCTCATGTCAATCGCTGCATTTCAGAAGATACGATACAAGCTAGATGCTTCACAAACTTCCCTGGAAGGATTTATTTTCCTTCTGCAACCCCCTTAGCCTGCTCCTCCACCTCAAAGCCCGGCTGGATAGAGAGGGCGTGGGAGAAGGCTTGGGCTCCAGCCACGCAGCTGTCTCCTCCCTCCAGGGATGACTGAGGAGTCTGCACCAGCGGGCTGATGGCTGTGCCCAGGGCTGGGCTGGGCTGGGCTGTCGCATGCTTTCCATCTGCTGGTCTCCCAGAAATGCGCTGTGTTCTCTGGGGCAGCTCCGGCAGCAGGTGCTGGCGTGCAGAGCGATGTGCAAGTTCATCACTGCTGTGGCTGCGTCCGCAGCGATGCCCAGCTGCCAGGCTGTGGACCGTGTTCACGTGCCAGAGCTTCTCATGGTGCTGTGTCGGCAGTGTGCCAGCCAGCCAGGCTGGGAATGTGGTGGCCTCAATATCTCCCAATCTTAAGGATCTATTTGCGAGCCTTCATCTTGCTCTGGGGTCTATTAGGATTTTTTAATATAAAATTTTACATAGCTTCATTTTTAATTGCCAAATAATAATTATATCCTATTTTTTTGTTGATAGAGTATTGCTGCTGAATTAATTCATAGCCACAAATGCAGCTGCCCCTGGCAGGTGACTGTGTCATTTTCCCTTGGCTTCTGTACCCATTGCAAGGCCTAGGGCAGACAGAATCTCTGGAGTCAGAAAGCCAGGCTGTGCTTAGGGGTGGGGGAGCCTTTTGCTAGCCTGAATCCTCTCCCAAAGCCCCATGTGCAGCAGGCAAGGATCCCTCTTGGGCCAGGGATGGAGCTGAATTTGAGCTCACAGGCTTCTACCAGCTGGTACTATCTGTCCTTACTGCTGTTGAGGACAGGGGCTGCAGACCCAGCTGGATGTCTTCCTGGAGCTACCAGGGCAGGAAGAAACTGCAGCTTGTACGAGTGGGTAGGTGCCTTGGGCGCCATTAGGATGGACATCTGAATGCAAGGATGGTGCCTATGGAGGGCTCCCCAGAGCCCTGACTGGGGAGATGCGCTGCAGGATTCTGTGAGGTCAACACGGCTCTTCCCCGCCCAGGATCTGCCTGGTACCAATCTCCTACATCCATACAGAGGCTGCGCTTTTGCAGGGGCATCATGTCCACTTCCCCACTATGTCCACTGGCCCATGGTGTATGTGAATGTGGGGTGCCACAGGGTGGGGAGCAAAGGGGGTGTAGAAGTCCAGAGGCCCAGATTAAGCATGCAGAAGACCTCACATCTCTCCTCTAAGCCCCAGCAAAGGGCATCCCTCTGTCTTGTCACCAAAGTGTCTGAAGACCTGGAAAGATAGTGCCTGCACCCCAGGATGCCCCCGTGGCCTCAGCCTACCTGGTGAAGAATGGGATCTCGTCGTTGATATTCACAATGGTCACTCGGAGTGCTGTGGAGGCTTTGAGGCCTCCACTATCCCTCACTTCCACAGTCAGGTGGAAGCTGTCAGAGAAACATTGTAAAATCAACTTTGCTGGCCTGCCTCAGAGTGAGAAGACAAAGAGCCATGTGGGACTAGGAGGTAAGAGTCTGTCCCCTGTCCCACCACCATTGCTTAGGCCCTGTGTCCTCAGAGCTGCTCTGTCACCCTCCTCCCTGGCCCTAAAGCCCCAATCCCACCTCCCACTGCTCTTAGCGGCCAACACCCCATGACCAATCTGTTTGTTCCAGGCACGTCACACTTCTACCCCAGCAACTCACTGTCCCTGCCCAAGGCCCACGCCACTTTCCAGAGCAATGCACTCCAGGCTTATAAGTGACATACCTTGTCCTCACAGCAGGGAGGGCTGGGCCTTGCCCAGTTCACCTCACCTTGTTCATTGCAAGCTAAACCTTTCCTCAGGCCTGGCACCCTGCAAACCTCTGTGCCCCAGCCCTTTCTCAGCCTCACCTCCTCCAAACTTCCATTGCCTCTGAGCATCCTCCTGACCTCAGGACGCCCTCTCCCACTGTCCCTCTTGCTACCTGGGGAGGACAGTTTGGGACTGGAAAGACATCTTCCCAGGGATGACCCCAGGCCCTGACTCCCTGGGTTCATGGCCACCCAGCCCAGAGTAAGGCAGCAGGCTGCCCAGTGTCCCACCACCTCCATGTGGCCTGTGGCTGCTCCTTCATATTTTCTCAGCCCCTCAAATAAACCAAACTTCACAGCAAAGCTACCTCTTGTGTCCTGCTTCAAAGTCCAGTTCCGTTGTGGAGAAGAGAGTGCCATTGGCAGACATGCTGAAGCTCCTTGAGGGAGAAGTCAGGAAATACTAGAACACAAGAGAGAAATAGAATTAAGTCAGCACAGCCGCACACCTTTTCCTAAAGGTTTTCACTCTGTGACCATCTTAAATTTTTGACCCTTGGGACATTTTTGATGAGTCAAGATAAAGACCAAAAGGCAGCTCTCAGATCTAGTGGCTCAGAGTCCAAGAAGCTGCTGGACCTGCTGGCCTGACCTCCTGGCCCTCACTGACCACACCCTGAGAAGCTGGTCGGAGGCTCCTGCTTCACCTTCTGAGTGTCCCGAAGGGCACTGCCCAGGCTGTGGCCAGGCTGCTTACTGCAGCCTCTGCAGCTTCTGCTTGCAGACCACGTGTGGCTGTGACCTGTCTTGGCTGTAACCAATGCTGGGTAGGCACGCCCACCATGGGCTCATCAGCAGGGCTACGCCACAGTGAGTCAGATCCTGTCTCTACACTTAAGGTAAGGGGGAAATATGGACACAAGTATCACTGAAACCAGGAAGTGACAGGAAGGAGACAAGCGTGACCTAGAACGAGATACAGCAGGCATAGTGCCCTTATTGGACCCTGAGTTGCTGACAGAGAAGAGCTGTTTCAAAGTTTTGTCCCAAGAATGTCACTCTGGGAAAGACCCTCCCATGTTTTTGGATAGCTGAGAATCTGTCATTCTTGGTCCGCCTTTTCCCGTCAAGATGGCCTTGGTCTGATGGACTTGGGCTCCAGTTCTCCTCACCACAGCCTGGGGACAAACCGTTTAGGGAGGACCCCACCAGTAGCTCCTCCAGGTTACTGGGGTGACTACATGAGAATGCACACTTAGTATAAGAAGAGCCGGGGAGATGGCTTATTGGAATAAACGCTTCCTTGGAAGCGCAAGGGCCTGAGTTCAATCCCCAGTTCCGAAAAAAAAAAAAAAAGAAGAAGAGCTGCCGCAATAGTTGAGACTTGTGCATTAGATCCATTTGTCTCAAAGGGCTTTAAGGTTAGAAAGTCTCATTATTTCCTGCTGAGATGGGGGATAGTCTGTCCTCAAGGCCTTGGACCTCCAGAGCAGATGATCAGTGAAGATCTCCTAAGCAGAGCCCAGGCTTCTGAAGTCCCAAATCAAAGAAATACTGGCCGAGGTTTCCAGCCCAGCGATTTGCTGCGAGGTTGCAGCTGACTTCCCAGTATGAGCATCCACAGAAAACAGATTAAAGGTCTCCTCTGGGGCCAATATATGGTTTTAAAACCAGTTTTAAAGGGTTTATTTTCTGTTTGTTACTTAATAATCTCTTTCTAGTTTTAACGAGTGTATGTTTTAATGGGAATGTCAGGAAAGTACTAAAAAGACACTAAATAGAAGTCCCTTGCAAAATCTCATCATTTTGAGGATGAGCTTTCTATTTTCTGTGCAAATATATACAATCTCAAGTCAATGTTCTAATCAAAAGGATAATATCTTGTTCTTTTCATCCATATGTCGAGCTCTTCCTCCTATTCTTAAATGTTGTTTTAAAAGCCTAGTTAATCCTAGAACCACACTACTGCAGGAGTCTATTTGACTAAGTCTTTCTTGCTTGTCATCTAGGTGTTTTTAGGGTGAAACACTGGAACAATGCCAAGGAACGCACTTCTCCCAAGCCCTCGTTTTGTCTGAGTTCCCAGGGTGTCAAAATCCCCCCCCCCCCACAGCGGTCTGGGTCTCTATCAGCAGACAGCAGCTGCCTGGCCCCGCAGTGCCCACACACACAGCAGTCCGGGGGCTTTGAGCAGAGCCTTCTATGGAGAGAATCCTGCTGCATGCAGGAAGCAGAGGCCCTAGCTGAATGTGATGGAGGACCGGGGTTTAGAGACCGGGGGTGGGGGGCATTTGCAGTATGCACCTCAGTCCGGATGTCTTTCCATGCATGATGTGAAAAGCTCCAGGAGATGGGTTTCCTGTCCTGGTTGATCCCAAGCAGTGTGAAGAGTGAGATACAGAGATGACAGACAGGCCCTGCCCTGACCAAGGAAATGGACAAGGGTGTGAAAGGGGAGCCCCAAGAGCGATAAATGCAAGAGATGGACTAGGAGGGACTCAGACTCATGTGGAGATGAGTCACAGATTGGAATAATACGTAAGTTCCATGATCCTGGAGGCAGGTTTCCTGAAGCCGATGCATTTGTACCAAGAGTAATAGCAACAGGCCAACCTGAGGAGATGTCATGTAAAGTTCTAGATCTGGGTCTGGCACATGGTAAGCCCACAGCAAATGTTTGCTACCTTCCTGTTAGACCATAAAGTTGTGGGGGGACTCGGTATAGCTCAGTGATTGAGAGC